CCTGCTGATTTACTAACAAAATGCGCATGACAATCACATTCGATTAATCGTGCAGCCCTAATACAAATCAAAACTTCATCTTTAGTATGCATATTTATAATGCTAGATCTAAAATATCCTTTCATATATCATAAAAACATCTGCATATATCAGTATTTAAATCTCAAGGGATACGTGACGACAAACATTGAAACTAACACAAAAGTTGCCTTCATTAGTAGAATCTTTATGGTAATGGGAAAACCTGAAATGGATTATGGGTACTGTAGTTGTAGGCAGCGCGAGAGAAACATCCCATCATGCCTCCTCTGCCGTGTATATACGGTACATCAATGTGACGATTACTGCGGCGACAGCAGGTATCAACCAGTTTGACCACCAGCTGGAACAAGAGACCCAATGGAAGGTTTGGAACAAAGCACTTGGTAATTAGCTTGAATTATTAATTGGAATCTTGCTACAATGGAAAGTTTCTAGTGAAAATAATGATCAATCATGTTACAAGTTACAACATATCCACATTTCTTAAAAGCATAGTATTTGGTCATTCATTTGAACTTACCTTGTGGTTTCTTGTGCGGTTGGTACAAGTGATTCCTGTAAAACAGAAAACCAAATACATGTTTAGGTGTTGCCATTCAATGCAAGTCCAAAACAAAGAAAGCGCAGAGTTTGTTAAAATCATAAGCATGGAAAAAACTATTCGAAAAATGAATTACGTACTGGTGGTCCGGCAAGCTTGTCCCTGTCATCCTGCGAGAAAGGCATGAATAAAAATATCACGTGTTGCTGCCACACATTGACATTTTATTAACAAAGCAAATTAATTAGCATGTCTTGCAGAGCACACTCTGGCTAAAACACATAAATCAACTTTACAGTGCTTGTCAAAATAATTACTTATCAGGCCTGAGCAAAAATTACAATGTATATATGTATTTTATATAGCTATCCATAGTGTGTGTAAATATATATTTACACTACTGTTCATTCTATTTTAGAATGTTTTTGTGCTAACCAAGGCTGCATTTATTTGATCAAAAATACAGTAAAAACATTGTGTTTTCTATGTGAATATATGTTAAAGTGTAATTTATTAGCTGAATTACTCGTCTTCAGTGTCACGTGATCCTTCAGAACTCATTCTAATATGCTGATTTGCTGCTCAGAAAAAAAAATAAAAAAATCTTATCAATGTTGAAAACATTCTGATCCTTTTTCAGGATGCTTTGCTGAATAGAAAAGTTCAAAAGAACAGCATTTATAGGAAACACAAATCTTTTGTAACTTTATAAATGTTGTACTGTCCCTTTTGTTCAAATTAATATATCGATTAAAGTACTTTAAAATATTTAAAGTATTTTGCTGAATAAAAGTATTATGTTCTTAAATATATATTAGGATTCAAGTAATCTCATCTAATAAATGTATATATATATATATATATATATATATAGTAATTATATATATACACATATACATACATATATATATATATATATATATATATATATATATACAGTATATAAAAAAAAAAATATATATATATATATATATATATATATATATATATATGAGTGTTATATATTTGTGTGTGTGTGTGTTTACATTTCTATAGGTGGTATTTCAAACGATTATTAGTATTATTAATATCATTTGTCTCATTCAAACTAAAAAGAAATATTATTATTATTTATTTAAAAAGTAATTATTTTATTATCCAGTTTGCTACCTCACTTTTAATTCAGGAATTGAACTGGAATCTAAAAGTCGTTCTCAATTCAGTTCTGAAAAGTGCGCAGCTCGTCTCCATTCCTGCGATAGCATCTGTGCCGAATCCAGCAGCATTACAGATCCTCCAATAGAAATAAACATAGATTCCAGGTTCCTGATAGTATCTCGAACCACTGTAGGTCTGGGAAAACATCTCGGATTTCATGAGATACAGCTATGAATCAACAGGTCTGATGCTGTCCAGGATGAAATATCAAGACTTTTATTGGATCATTCCCAGATATTTCAGGGGGAATGGGAAGCATGTGATTTATTTTATTTTATTTTTTCCCTAAAATCACATAGGTTCTCATTGGCATCCATTGGTGTGATGTCATAACTTCACTGAAATTATAAATGGATAATGACTTAACGGCTACTCATGGCCCTTTGTATGCCAGCGCTGACACATGCAAAACAGACTTTGAAAAACATGCAAGGTGCGATTTAAAATTACAGCCACTGAGAGCTCTCTAGCTTTTTAGTTTTTTTTTTTTTCAACTTTCAATAAGAGTAGAAATAGAGTATATTGTGAATATATGTTTGAATGTTTTTCTCAGTAAGCACACAGGAACTTCATCAGCTGTGTTTGACACTATCTGATGTCTTAATGCTGCAACAAAAGGCCTTCTTCACACTATTGCTCAACAATAATACTGCGTTCTGGCAGACTTACAGGATGCAGCTCTCCTATGACAAAAGAACTGGCCATCTCGCGTGCATCTGTCGAGTGGCCGACATCTTCAAAATTCTCTGTGGCATCTCCACCCACCTGCTCTCGCAGCACCTCCTCTCCACCCGGGTGCTGTGGACACCAGCAAATACATCAGATCATCCAGATCAAACTCGCAAGCAAACCCAGTAATGCTTACGAATACTTAGCATGCTTACTGACCCCTTTGACCTTGGAAAAATGTTGCCTAGGAAATTATCAGTTGATAATGTCATGCAACTTAAAATACCTTGTGTGCAGTTTTAGATCTAGCAAGAGTATTGTTACTAGATTAGGTAGTTCTCTAGATCTAGATGATATGGAAAGAGGTGAAATGTCAGGTTTTATAATCCAATCACTGCAAGGTGCACCACAGTGTGTGGCGCAACTACGGCTTCCCTTTATATTAATCTGATCCGTCTTAAATCAAAAATAACTCTGCATCTAATTTTTAAATTAGTTATATTCAGGTTTCAACTTGGTTAATGCACTAATGCTAATTTCACATCAAACGCATCGGTTGGCAACTGCTGTAATCAAATCTCTTTGGTCCAACTTTGACTTTCTAAATGTATTCATTTATTGCGCTATATTAATGCATCATTCATTGCATTATATAATGCACATATATTTTAGTCCTATTATTATGCATTACACAATTCCAGTGCAAAGGTACTATGCTTTTTTACACAATGCAATACTAATGCATGCATTACACAATTCCAAACCGACAATATTTTAATGCGAATGTTTTAGAACTAACGTTTATCATCTGAGGCTCTGTTTTAAAACTTACCTCCTCGAGAAACTTCGTGACGTCGTACACTTTATTATGAATGATAATCCATGTGCTTTTAAAAGAGTTCCGTTCCTCCACCTCTGACAATCGATAATATTTAACACCCATTCTCTCTGTTTCGTTGTCTTCCATTGGTTTGTTTAAATGTGTGTTATTTATTCGGAAGGTTACAGAAACTCTCCACGGCTCCCTTGCTGATCGATCACGTCACGTACTTCTATAGTCAATACCAACAGTAGCATTTCCCAACTCGCCAGGCAACGCCCATTCCGCTCAAGACGAAATCTGATTGGATGATATCAGTCCTGGGTTGCCTGGCGAGTCTGTTTTGATTGGACCGAGGGCTGTCAATCAGCTCACTGGGTCATAAATTTCGCTGAACCTCACGAAGTAACTCGCCAGAAGTTCACGAAAGTTCACGATAGCATAGTTCTCACGCGATACGGAAGCGTTGCCGTTTATCGCATCACGTTAATCTAGTGATGCCCGTTAGTCAAGATGAAGTGCGTTGCCCTTAAAGCCATTTTAGCCGCCTATTGTTGATCTTGTTTCAGTCAGATAAGAGTACGTTCTCTGGAAACAGTGGCACGCGAGCCTCACAGCAGTGTTGCCAAGTCCGCGGTTTTCCAACGTATTTGGGCTACTTTAACACTTGCCGCGGGTTGAAGCTACCCCAATAACGCGATATTTAGCCCCTGGAATGGAGAAGGAAGGGTCTGGCTGCAGCTGGCGCTTGCACTCTCACGTCAGCATAGTCTTTTTTTATTTTATCCATGCTCCACATTTCAACTTTCTCAGTCTCCTCTGTGACAATGCTGTCCACAGCCATGATGTTTTCATACTGGACTTTCACTAGGTTCATGGCTTGTATTGCCCTGCTGCCCAGTAGTGGCACTGTAGACTCCTCGTCAACAACCATGAATTCTACTCTGTACAATTTCTTGTTTCTAGGGTTTCTCAGTTTGACTTTACATTTTCCCAATGGCTGTAGTGTGCTTTTATTGTACATCACCAGCACTTTCTCAGTCTTTTCAATTTGTGTGGCTGGGTTTAACAAGTTGACAGGTATTATATTACAGCTAGCTCCACAATCTAACTGAAACTTCACCTGTTCTTTTCCTAGGAGCATGGCAGCAAAAAGTTTTAAGGGCTGTCTCTGTTTATCCTCTGTCACTGTGTTCACTGTCTCTACTGTTACACATAAGATGTCTTCATAACTTTCCTCATCTGACTCTGTGACAGCATGCACTGTCTTTCCTTTCTGCATTTTAGTTCTGCACATTGCAGCAAAATGATTGTCTTTTCCACAGTTTTTGCATTTTTCCCCATATGCAGGACATTTCTTTTTATTTCTGTCATGAATCTTCCCACAAAACTTACAGTTTACTGTGCTTTTACCATCCTCTTTTCTCACTGCATGTTTTACTGCAAGCACTTCCTCTACCACTCGCCCTTCAATTGTTCTGTTGTTTTCTCTCGACAACTCTGTTGCTCTGCAGATTTGCACACTTTTTTCCAAAGTCAAATTCTGCTCCCTCAGAAGTCTCTCTCTCAAAACAGAGCTGGTTATGCCGCAAACAATTCTATCGCGGATGAGAGAGTCTTTGATCTGGCCGAAATTGCACGTACTGGCGAGCGTTCTTAAGTCCGTTACATATTTGTCAATGTTCTCATCGGAACTCTGATTCCTAACAAAAAAAACGGTACCTTTCAACTGTCTCATTAACTTTTGGATTGCAGTGACCATCCAAGGCAGTCATTAATCGGTCTACAGTCCGATCCGGTGACGAGGAGGGGATCGGGGTCTCGCATAGCTCTCTTCCCGTTTCCCCAATGAGATAGCTGAAAACTTTCAGTTTCACGTTTTCGCCGGCATCCGCCAAAGTGAGATCCATATACAGCGTGAACTCTTCTTTCCACGTTTTCCATGATTTCGCCAGATTAGTTGAGTCCAAGCAAAGGTTTGGTGGCGGTCTCAGTCCCAGTGAATTTTTCA